GCAGAACACCTGACTTGAAGAAATCTTCATCACTGAAAGATGTAGAACTGACCATGGTGCATATCAGGCACTCTTGTTAAAAATATGCTATACTTCCTTACACCAGTGATGTTAATATAACACTGAGGAGTTTCCCACTGAGAAGTTGTGGTAGGTATGTTCGGCAATAGCAGAATGGGGCTGAGTCCTGTTCACTGCACAATTTGGGAAGCAGAATTAATCTTCTCCTTAGAAATGACAGATCATTTTTTAACATGAGCAGGTTTTTTTTCCTACATTTTTATTGCAGTGGGAGATCGGAAAGGAAGAATGATGATCATCCTAAGAAGCCTGAGATGAAACATAACCCTGGCTACAAATACAAATTCGCCTCCCAAAACAAACTTAACTGTTGGGGAAGAGAGTCAGTGCTGGCCGCCTAAACTGGATCATACTCCTCTTCCATGCACTTTGCCAAAGTATCTGTTTATTATTCACAATTAAAGCTCTTACTCTTGCAAGCTCTTGCAAGCTGTTACTCAGGTTTCGCATAAACAAACATCAATAAAGGTCAAAATAATCCTTTAACTTAGACTTAAAACTATCACAGAATAAACTGTAGAGCTGTGTATGTAATTAATATATTCTACCACTAAAAATCCAAACCTCAGTCTTACCTCACTCTCACTGTACCCAGTGACAGGAGCAGTATATTGAGTTTTCGAGAAGGAGCATGGAGAAAATGACTTTTCCAAATATTTCAGGATTATGTCTAGAATTATCTGATGAAAAACTTTGGGAAGAGTGTTGTGCTCCCCTCGCTTTTCTCCATGGGAATAGCTGAGTTTGTGAAATAATCCTCACCCTGCCGTAAGTGCAGATCATTCCCTTTGGAAGTCACAGTGTGTGTTTAAGGGCATCAGCCATTTGTCGTGGTAATGGATACCCTAACCCTGTGAAGAGTCTCCAGAGAGAGCAGATTTTTGAAAGAGATCTAGAACTAGACATCTTTTCTACCTTTGACCAGCCGTGTTTCTCTCACATATTCTTGATTCCCCCTTTCACCCTCTCCCCTTGGATAAGGATATGGGAATCACTGAGGAGACTGACTTTTCACCTATTTGTTTTGGGGAGGAATTTTTTGTCAGCCTAGCTTTACAAAATATTGGCATCTGCTGTCCAGAATATGAGACTGTATCTTCAAAATCCCTTCTAAAATAAAACAAACAAAAAAAAAAACTGTAAACAGCCTTCTGTCCGTCTGTCAGTGAAAACTGCAATGTCCTTTGAGCCCCAGACAGGTCTTCTCCTATCCAGTGGTTAATTTATTAAATTCCTGATAGCCAAATTATTGTTTACATTTTTAAAAGTATAACAGTTCCAAACACTACCTCCATCTAAGGTTCTAACTTTCAGGACATTTTCTTTCATATGCTATTTTGAACACACAGTAATTTATGGTAATACACATTAACTGTTAATGACAGTTTTATTTGAAGAAGAGTGAATTACAAATGCAGCGTAGGAGAAGTGCAGTCATCAAGCACATAAGCAACATTTTAATGAATAGATGCTTTTTTTACTCCAGTGAGATCAACATCTGAGAGCCAAAGATCCCAAATTATGTCAGAGTTTTCTAAACATTCTAATAAATTGCAATGGTGAGCTCCTCTGTAAATGGTGCAGAAAACCAGAAAGTGAATTTCTGTTGGTAAAAAAAAAATACAGAATTAATGAACAATCTTAATTTAAATTAGTGAAGATCAGTTCAAAAGACAGAACAGAAAGAAAAAGTCAAGTTTAATCTTTATAGTCCCTCTAATCTCACCCAGTAAATAAGACTCAGACGTGATGGCAATAAGTGTCTAATTTTTATCACAAAATCCAGTTCAGCATCCCTTTCAGAAATTCAGTTTTAAATTAATAAATGAAGTAAATATGAAACTACACTTACAATACCTGACCTGCTGTGTCTCTGTTCAGTGTTAAATTTCATGCATTCCATGCTATCTAAATAATTTCCATTTCCAGTCCTTCACCAGTTTTATCTTTATGTTTCAGCATAGTCCCTTAAAATGCATGGTAGTTCACAGCTCTTAGCTGTTTCTGTGCCCTACCACAAGTTCACATTACTATCTCTCTAACTGTCACCTTTTCAGTGTGTGATGTTTGCCTCTCTCCTCAGAGCTCGGCAGTGACTCTCCCTCCACTGTTGCTTGCCAAGGAGCGACTCTACTTCTTGAATGATTCCAGTGCATCTGATTCTCTCTCATTCTCTTTTTTTTTTTTTTTTCTCTCAGGTGTGGGGTCAGATCCAGACAAACCAAAAGTCCACAGATGCTGCCTCCAACAATTGCAGGAGATCCCTGAGCACAAGGTGAGCCAATCCAAGGCACATTCCTGCAAGGCTGTCCAGCTAGGACACCACTGGAGCAGGCTGCTCCAGGCTGCCCTACTGCTCCCTGCACCAGTGAGGAGCTTTGCTGCCCTTTCCAGCATCCAATGCAAGGAGAATCTATGTGGAAGTAAAAGCAGCATCTGTCCAGGGCTGGGTCATTTTGGTTCCAGTACAAGCCTCATCAACAGAAGTGCCCCACTGACATCCCTGCAGTTATAGCTCTTAGGGTACAATATTGTCACGGAAAAAAAAGATTAGCAGGGCTAATAACTGGAAGAGTCTGTGAAACCACAAATGCCAGCTCACAGTAGTGCATGAAGCAGAAAGGCAGGGCTTATTACAAAGTGAACTGCTTCTATATATGCACAAATAACTATGGCTCAATTATGTATCTAAGCACTGCTTTTAGGAAAATTCTCTTTCTGTAAAGTAGAAGTTACTTTCCCATACGTCCTTTTAAACAATACCATCTTTGTGCTTGTTAAACTACTATACAGTATGTAATCCCATTAAACCTGCAAGAAAATGGCAAATCTGCCCTTTAGATTTTGTTATTTTCTTAATTACATGGGTTGTAAACTTTCAAAATCTAATCCCAAGCTGCTAATATTTTTCTAACGGAGAGTGTAACATGAGAGGATTCTAGGTAATGGCATTACAACATCTGCATAGAGATAGTGGGGGAGGCTTGATTGGATCTCTTAGAACTGTGAGAGCAATATATCTGTCTGGTTTAGGTTACCGTCTGATTTAACTAACAAAATTTTTGTGTGGTTTTGGGCCTTTTCTGCTGTAGCAGCTTGGTGATTTTTTCCCTGCTTTCTGAAGTAGTTCTTAAATCCCTGAGATTATCTTTTGCTCTTAAATCAGTCTTGAAATGATACTTTTGTGACAAGCTTTTAAAAATCTTTTTATATTATCCTCTGTTAGTATGCAGCTATCTTCTGGATTTCTGTAATTGGTGCCTTCAAGCACATCTCGACGGAGTATTTTTCCTTACTCTGCCACATTTACGTTGCTTTCTGCTTTGCTTAGAGGTACTTTGGCTGCTAAACAATTTCTTCCCTTGAGGCAATACTGATTATACTTATTTATGACATCGGCTCTGAAAGTGAGTTTTTTATGATTCTCCAAGAGTGAAATTTATTCTCAGCAATTTGCTACTTTAACAGATTTCTTCAATAAATTGAATGTTAGAACCAAATGCATGTAGTGAGAATTGCATTGTGGTTTCCAATAAACTTAAATCATTAAGCCAAGTATGTAGACTACCATAAGCCCTGACTGACATCTATTACTTTTTGCCTCAGCTGTCTGTCTTTGATTCAGAGATGAATTATTGACATCTTTTTTTCTCATCAATATTAATATTGGCAGTTCACTAGACACGAAGCGGTGCTGAAATTTGAGTGCCACATTTACACAGCGGTGCAAGATAAACTTCACCTTGGTAGCTGTTGGTAGGAAATGGACAAGAGGAGGGATCCATGCACTTTGGTCCAAGCAGAGCCATCACAGTGTTCAGTGTCAGGCTGTGTTGACCAAGATCAAGGCCGCAGGGCAGATGCCCCCCAAGAGACCTCAACATGTTGTTTAATCTGTCTTTATCATATATTTCCCTTT